GGTTCATATCAATAGATTTATTATCTAAAGATAATTTATTATTTAAGATAATGATTATTAGTTTCATTGCCTAAGTAGCTGTTACAAATCACAGATTTTAGAACAAGAATTAATGCTAAGACCTTCCGATTTATGTGCAGTGAGTAGTATTACGCTCCCAGACAACAGTAGTAAAACATATTAACACTATTATTTTTTGATCAGTCAAGCGAACTAAAGGTTAATTGGTTTTCCTAATTGTCTTTTAATCTTTTAAATTATTACGCATTTATTAAATTGTTATATAAAAATTAGAATAGCAATGCTAATAGTAGATTCTTTTATAAAACAAAAATAGTTTTATATTATTTACATTTCATAAAAACATTTGTTTTTTAATAATTCGGCTATATTCTATATCTAGCTTTAGATTCCTTATAAAATCACAAAATTAAATAAAGTAAATTAGAATAAAATAAAATTGAAAAAAATAAAATAGATTAAAATAAAATAGAATAGAATAATATATGATAATTAGAAGAAAATAGAATAGCATAAAATAGAACTTCATAATGCGACAAGATTGCATTTAAACTATGAATCACTACATACGAGTGTCTATGGATTACAAATGGATACCTCTTTGGTACTGTAATAGTTAAACTTTCTTTAAATACTGTCTGTTGAAACAATAACTAAATTAATGCACACTATTATTAATTAACTCTTAAAGAGGACCTAATATTAAAACATCTCACATCCCATCAAACGTTAAACCCTTAATAAATATACTTTATCAAGATATTAATGAGATAAAACACCTTCAACATTTCACAGTAAATGTTTTAAAATATTTACCTGACCCATATTTGATTTATATAACTGTCATATGTTTAATATTTTCAAGACAAAACTAACATATCGTATATTCGTTTTAAGTGAGACAAATTATAACAAAATCACCTCAAAGTCTGCATAAAAATGTTAAAAAGTCCAAATTTGTTTAATTTGCCTTATTAATTTGCGACTGAATTATAATTCTCATGCGGTTAACTTGATTTCTTATATGCTACATTAAATTATTGTTTTCAAAGCCATTATTGTAATGCTCAAAACAATGCAGTTATAATCTTCATGACCTACATATAAGTACCATATATCTACTTGAATAATGGCTACATCCAAAAAGCTAAATGGAGTACTGGATTTTTATTAAATTTAGAAATGTTGAAGTGCTGCAGGGACTCATTCTCTATGAAACTCTACCTTTCATATTTGCATTTTATTAAAACTGATTTTTTATGCAAGTAAATGGGGAATGTAATATGCTTCACATATTCACTTTTTCAGGCAATAAATACGTCAGTACATTACTTTCGTGTGCATAAAATCCGAGCAATAATTTTAGGTAAAACGCGCAATAAACAATATATTGAAAATTGCTATAAACATATCCTTCCGCCTCGCAAAAAAAGAAAATAAATAACTTATTCATACAAAAAATTATAAAATATTGAAAAAAGTACGGTCATAAAATTATAAAAGCGAAAACGTCGCCGCATTTATGCAAATTTTGTATTTACACGAGAATAAAAAAAATTTGTTTACGTGGAAAACAAATCACCGGATGAGGTCACTAGCGCTCAGGACGACATCCGAAACCCAATGTGAAATATGAACATCTGCGTTGATAGCGACATTAAATTGGGTGAATGTCTGCAAATATGTAAAATACATATGCGTCCATTTATCTGTGGTTGTTTCATGTCAAGTTAAAATTGGTGAATATTTTTACTGACAAAATTCTGAAACCCATTTTATTTGGATTTTTTAATATTCGATAATAAGATAATATCCGCAAATGAACCGATTACTGGAACTCTACTTTTACCAATTACAGTAGTTATGAATAAGAGTTTTATTTTTAGGATTTAATTTATCAAAGAGGTTTCGAACAGTAGTTAATCACAACAACAAAATTTTTTATTTATGTTTAATTGATTGACTTTGATTGAGAAAACTAACCATACAGCTTTTTCAAGTATTGCCAAATACCCATCATCAGGGGTCTTCTTATATTTAATTATTATATGTTATATTTTTAAAATCACATAATTTCTTGAGACTGCTACATCCACGGGTTGAACTGGTGCCCTGCCAAATTTAATGCTCAGAGTCAGTGTTTTTTAGCCAACTAACCCAAAACCATACTTGACTTATGTGTTCGAACTTAGACTTTTGTTAATTTGCTGTAAAAGTTGAATAATAAATTCACTTGCTGTGTTATAAAAGAACCAAAAAATAAATCAGCTATAGAATCTGATTTATTTATTTATAAATTGATTAATTATCTGAGTCTTTGTGTAAAACTTTAACATATCAGAATCAGCCAGTTAGAACATAGTTTGAATAGATTCTAGTCATCGGTTTAGAGAGAGGTATTAAGACATAATCCTATTCACCTCTGAAGTCTATCAATAACTAATATTAATTGGATTACCATTTAAGAAACCTTAGTCAATGTGCATGGAAAACACGTAAGTGAGTAAAATAAGGTGGCAGGTCTATAGTGAAGGGAATATCGTAAGAGCAAACTGTGTCGTTCATAATGACTATGGTTATAGAGTAAAGTCAGAGAGAGAATAATTTAAGATTTATTTGATTGACTCCAGCATATGTGGTAGAAAGCGATACGGGATCATATCATTTAGTGCAGTATCTTCTATAAGAAAAGAGTATGAATTATTAATGCGAGTAATTTTGGTAGAATGGCAAACAAAGGAGGTTTGCATATTATTTGCCACATATTATTTGCAGTTAAAATTTGTCTATCAGAGTCTATTACTCCATATGAATTTGAACGTACAGACTTAATGTTTAATAAAGATTCTATGTTCACATGGCAAAACTAAAGAAAGTGGATTAACAATTTTTGTGATTTAGTCTTGTTTTGTTCTAATTTTGTTCTGTTTGGTTATTATAAATAAAATATATAATATTGACAGATCTTATATTCATATATTTTATTATGTAATTGAGTTTAAAATTTAATGCACTTCACATAAGGATTAAAATTTATACGGAAAACTAGGCATTAACTACTTTGATGGTATATATGTTATGCAATGATTTTCTGTAATCTCGTAGTGTAAGTATATTTCATTCCAAAGTTAATTCCAAGACTTATGTAAATTTTGATGAATATCGAATATTGTGAAATATATGAAATATTTAATTTAACACACGTTGCATGAGTAGAAAATAAATTATCAAATTTCATCTTCAAGATAGTTTTCAGTTTGGATAAGACAAACTTTAGTTTTGTACATTATGGAATGTTAAAAGAAGTTCATTCTGGACAATCCTCTATGAGGATAATTTTAATCGAATTTATTTTTAGTACTAATGTCAATTTATTTCAATATATCAAATAAGAGGCGCGATTGTTAAGTAAACTAATCAATAGATGTGAAACCACAAGTCAAATTGGTTTGCGTTAATTGCGTCAGAACGCAAGTTTCAAGTTTTGTGGATTAAATTCAAGAGCTCAATCTGCTTAATTACTGGGGTCAAGTACTCAGTGGTCAGAAAGCAGACCCAATCAACATTCACCATTAAACATTTCAACATATGTAAATATATTACATTGAAACGTTTGATGAATAATAATGTGTGTAATAAAATAACTTATAATACTAATTCAATATTGACACAGTATTGCAATAAAGCTGCAATAAATGAGTATAATTGATTCACTGTTACCAATAATTGGTTTCAATAAATCCGATTACGAAACAGATATTTAAAACAAACATGGAGTCTTCATATAAATTTTGTAACAGCGAAATCATTACAGCACTACATTATAATATTAAGAACTAATATAAAAGCCTGCAGATAAGCTAAAGAATTCATGAGCTTCATGAACAGAAAAGGCATCCGACTTGTCACAAGGTTTCTCACTACATGCTCCGGAGTCAAAAGACATCTATCAAATCTATGTATTATAAGGGACGATAGCTGCAGAATTTGTCACAAAGAAGAGGAAGCAGCAGAACACATTCTGTGTCATCAACTGCCTATCCACATATAACGGAAATAGGTAATATCTCTACAAAAAACCTAATGGTATTTTGAACTGCTACGCGCCTATGAAACTAAAGTGGGTTTGTCACAATAATCCACAAAGGATGCAATAACGTAGTGTCATAGTTCCCAACTCGTTCAAAATCTATCTATCTACCTAAGTTGATAACAAGTAATGTACTGTTGTGATTGAAGATATAATTAATATAATGAGCAATAGATTTAAAAAAAAATTAAATCAGAAAAATATATACAATTTAATGTCGATAATAATAAAAAAAAGCTATAAGTTAAAAGGTGCCGATCATGTATTCGATTACAATTACTGAAAAAGATAAAAAACAAAAGAATCGTTACTAGGTTAAAAGAAAAATAACTTTTCTCTTTCAATAAATAGATAAAAAAACTGTTGACAAAAAAAATAAAAATTTGTCTAAGCATAATATCTCTTCTATATGAGAACAATGTCTCTTCTACCTTAAAAAATGGTGTCCCACAGCCTTAGGACAAAAATATATACATAGGAATATAATACCTATGAAGAAGGTGCTCTTGTGCCTACAAGGAGGTGCTCTTCTGCCTAAGAAGAAAAAGGTCTATTTTACATAAGAATAAGGTCTCTACAAAAGGAATAACACTTATATCTAATAGCCAGACCTATAATAGCTTATGGTTATCGACGAATTGAAAATGGCTCGACAAATTGTTTGCCACAAAAGACAAGCAGTTTTTCTTGTTAGGTATTCATAAATTTGCAGAAAGATGGAAGCTGATGACGAATATTTTGTATAACAGAAAAAGCATTTTCCTTAAAATTTACTAGTTTAATTAAATAAATTAAAAAAAACATATACACACACCTGATAAAAGACAAAAAAACCTTCTACATTTCAATTATTTAATAATTTTTAATATATTTTAATAAAACAAAAAATTTACAAATGTTTTTCATACAACAACATCTCATCGAGATTAACAAGGCTATATTCGGTAATACCTCGTCCAAAAAATTCATAAAAGCGAGCGTCTTTGGTGATCAACTCATTAACCGGGAACTTATCTGGAACATAAAACACAAGAATTATTTTTTAATTATATTTGAAGTTCAAAGCTTTTCTTACCATCGGAACGAATGTCAGTTAGTACATAGACATACTTATCATGGCAATCCTTTACCATTTCCTCGTCAGCGAAGGATAGATCAGCAACAGCTGGTAAAACAACAAGTTTTCTTAATTGGAATTGTGTTTCATGTACTTTTGGATATAAATATTCCATCCTCTGTATGGATATCCATAATTTATAGGCATTCATGGTAACATTGTGGTTAATTTTCATGATGAAGCACCTTTTATGATCGTAGTCCACAATTGCTGTGAGATTCTTTTTAAAATTATGCATAAACCGAGTAGTGAAGTCAGTCCTGACATTACTAATATTAATAGCGACAGTGTGGATTCGAGAGCTATCCATAACATTAATCTCAATTTCTTGACGAAAGTCATACCCACGAGGAAAATCCTCCTTCATATTTTTTAGGATTTGTGGTGCTATAAATATCATACCGGAATCCAAGTCGTCTGAATACATTATGTACGAAATAGTTTCATTATTTTCAACATAGATTTCCACAGCGCAATTAACGCGATAACGCACTATTTTATGCCTTCGATCAATCCGGAAGAAATATAAAGAAGCAAAAAATAAGCACATAATAAGTGCAATAGGAATAACAACCACAATCATAAAAGTCTTTGTACGAAGACCTTTTGGGTGCTTATAGTATTTGATTTCTGCACCTCTTTCAATTGCACTGGAGTGGTTTTTCTGATGTTCTTCGAACATACTGCCAGGAGTCTTCTCCATGTCCATAGTTTTGTTCTGCAATACTTTAAATTTTATCGAAACTTATTAAAAGATGCAGAAATCTAACAATTTTCGAAGAGAGAAAATATGAATCGTTCTACAGAAAAATTTATTTCTTACTACAATATTATAAGTTTATGTTTAATGGAAATAAAAAACGATAAAATCATAGCCAACTAATGTACTCGCATATACTTTGTTTAATTTATAATTATGATTTATATCATATTTGTAATTAAATGCAAAAATATAATAACCAACGTCATTTGTTCTATTATATATATTAACAGCGTTGCCACACTACTTGCGTGGCTAAGTCCGTTTGATGCGTTGGTCATTTTTTTTATTATTTATAGTGTATTATGTCATCGTAATGCAGATATCAATGTATTCTCCAGAAGAAGTTGCATAATACGTTTATGCAAGAGAGATAGTTGTGAGTGCGTGAAACCGATTTACTAATACAAAATACAGAAGAATAGATACTTCACGACTACAGTGAGTGTGAGGGAACCGGTGCAAAATATTGCCACACTTTCACTAGAAAAGGAAATCACACATAATGCTTATATAGTATGCAAAATGTCAATTTTATTTACTTTGACACAAATAAATGCCACAAAGAGAGGTAAATAAAGAAGAGGAGTGAAATCTTATAAATTCTCTTACAACAAGTAATGGTGTTATCTGTTCAGGCTATATCTAAGGGAACTAATGAAGTGATATTAGGTGTAGTTTGGTGTAATTTAGAGATCTTGGGATTTTTTGGAACTTATTCGATGATGAAGTACTGAAAACAAGCTCTTCATATTAGATTTTTGAGATGTGTTTATGTCTGGTAGCTCAAAATTAAATGATCACATTAAAAGTGAATTCTGAAGATTTCAAGTTTAATTAAGTCGTTATATAGTAATAAATGGTAACTCATATATGTAGTATAAAAGTAGACTACGAACAGTATTTAGCATGGAAGGACTAAAGCCAGACTGAAACCACACAGCTGAGTATCACAGAAATTATACATATATAACACGCTCATCAAATGGATTGACAAAATGGATGCTGTCCTAGGGCGAAAACTTTTGTTGAACAGTATACGTTTTATATAATTATTTTTCTTAAAAATGAATAAACAGAAAAGTGCTAATCTAGACAGGAAAAGCGGAAAATTTGACTGGAATTTAGTATGCAATTAAGAAAAAGGCTATAGTCAATGCCTTTTATATTTGAAATATATCTTCAGAATATTTAAGTTTGTGTAAAATATTACCTAATACTTACCCCTTATTGAAACTCCTTCTCCTCTTTTGGACAACTTTTAAATAGTAGAACCCCGATATTAATTACTGTAATCCGTGCTCAGCTAAATCCGCGCTCAGCGTATTATTTCAGAACACAGTGCTCAGCTTTCTGCAAATACAAAATTATTATATTTAATTTACCTGAAAATGAAGATGGTTATCCAACAAATTTATTTCACTTATACACCAAAGTAAATTAAGGGAGTGTGTTATCAATGTATCCAAAACGTAATTTAAAGAAGTTTTGTTCCACTAAGGAAATTTGAGTCCAAGTGATTTGTGAAGATTATATAATAGACTAAAGAGTAAAAAGATCTAAAATTTCGTCAAATTGTACTACAATATATTTTAAACACAATTTTAGTAGAAAAAAAGTTTTAACAGATATATACATTCTTGTTTCTATTAATAAAATTAATAAACAAAAAAATCGTGGCCAACTAATATATCTATTAATATATAAATATATATAAATATTATTATATACTATTATAATTATGATATGTGCAATTATAATATATAATTAATAAAATATAGTATCTAATGTCATATAGTTAACGTAAGCCGTCTTTGACTAATTTATGTATTAATTTATGTAATCCACGGGTGCTCCGCGGATAGCTAAGCACTTTTATCGCTTCCCTGACCCACGGTTTCGGCAACAAGAGCTTGATCTGTCTACAAGTGCTCAACTCTCTCCATCTATTGAGATGATGTGAGGTTATCCATTTATAGACATAGGCTGTCATCATGTTGTAATCCAATGGTATTCTGGGTTCTGGGCCGCAGAAATTATTAAACTATTACAAATGTAGTGTAAAGAATGTTAGGTAGCAATAGTTTTGTTCTAGAAACTTAATAAATCTAGTGGTATTTATGGACGGAGGGTTGCGCACAGAGGTTCAACCAATTTCTTATAAATTTAGTTTATAATTTTGATATTTTATTTTTAATTGAAGACTATATTACAATTGATTTTATGAAATACCAGTAAGTAATAGTATTTATTTCAATCAGAATGTATTTGTTAGAAACGATCGAAATTTTTTTGATTTTTTGTTTCTGCAGAAGAAAATCTGTGTTAGTTATAGGAGGACTTACCCCCAAGATGAGGACTTACCTTAATTTTTTAGCTAAATATTCAAGTATAAGTAAGTAAAATAAAAACATTATTTTAGGGGATCTTTTTAGGATTTGAATTACTTAGATTAATAGTTTTTTTAATTGAAATAGGCTCATTTTTTTTTGTTGAATTTGAGATACTTTACCTTCATGTCGATATGATGAATTAAAATACTTGTCGAGAATGTAAATGTCATTTACAATACAATTTTAAATTTGTTTTACATTTTCAATATATATGTATGTTTATATATAGTTCAGTTATCTCATATCAATGTTCATAAACTAGTGAGTTAATCAGAAATTATAGCGAGTGGAGTATGTCCAATTGTAAATATAACATATGGTTCATTAATAGTTCGAGCTCAGATCCATGTTAATAAAATGGCACTTGCATAATATATATTTTGCATATTCAAAATAAAATTTAACTAATGCGATCATTTAGTCTCCTAGCTCATCAAGTGAAATAGGTATTAAAGGTCACAAATTACTAAATATATATAAAGTAATAATTCCTGTAATGATTTATATCATAAATCATAAAATATGGATGAAAGGAACTTATATCAATATTAAAATATAGTATTATAGTATTATTATTATCTGTGCGACATAAAAGTGATTAGTGAATTATTATCAACAAAATATAATGGAAAGTGAATAATCTAATAAATCCTGTTTTATCAACTACAAGTTCTCCTCATACTTATTATACAAGATCAATGAATGTCTGTCTCTCTCATGTAGATTAAAGGTTTGTAATTTATTTTCTCTTTAAAAAAGTAATTGTATTCATGTTAATACACACATAATACTTACAAAGGCCATTGATATTACCAAGAACAGAATTATTATTCCAAATACCAAGGTTACGAAGAGTTGGCTTTCTGGTGACACATTTATTGAAGGGTTTTGTGATTGTACTATGAGTTGATCAGTATATCGTTTTTCTAATCTACATAATATCAAACTCGTTTCTTCAGATAGCTGTGTACAACAATTTTCATTCGATATTTTGGGCCTGAATTCCTAAAAAGCAAGCTTGGTATTGTAATATCCAGCAGCATTGAATTCTTAACCAAATGATGAGAATAATTAAGAAAACTACGAATTAGTTGTATAAAAAAATGCAACACGATTATTTCCAATGGATTAATTAAATGTGTACGTAGTAAAATAATTCTTAGAAATTATATATAAAACTTAGAACTCATATCTATTGATGGTATTACAAGAAGTAATTTTTCAAATCAAAACTAAAACCAATAGAACATTGAGGAACAACTGACCTAGTATTAACCGTACTCAGTAATAAAAATAAAAGTAATCTTCAATAGAACTTCAAACATAATAAACTTAAAAAACTGTGTTTGTAAATTTTATATAAAATATAGTTTATATAAAATAATAATAATACGAAAAGTAAAAGAAATTTTAGTTTCTCAAATCAATTAAAATTTTATTTCTGTTTATTAGAAAGAGGCACCAAAAGCATTACTATGCTACAGAGTAGCACTTTTGAAATCACACTTCTCAAAATGTCTATAAATAGAATCGTTTCACCTATCCAATATGTTTTAAATTTAATGTAAGAAGTTTGTGTATCCGAAAATAATGTGGATTATATTGTAAGAACATTACCTCCTATTTGCTACTAAAGTTATTAAGCATTTAATGTGCTTGAAAAGTTATGTGTTAAAAATGTCAGGTTTCTCCTAAGCTAGAAGTTACAGTTAAAAAAATAATACTAATATAATAAATATATAAAATAAATATACGATTTCATAAAAAATCGAAATTCATTTATTAGGCGTTATTCTAATATAATTTCGAAATATTGATATCGAAATTTACTCGAAGCTAAAAATTTTTTGTAATAAACTAAAACTAGTTCCCCAATTATGAGATATATAGTATGACAATCTTTTAGGTATCGAGGCCTGTTCTGTAATTGATAAATCCACGTTCGATCTTACTTCAATTTATAAATAGCGTCTATCTATTGTTACCAGAATATTACCCTAATATAGTAGAAATACGAGAATACCTACTTGCATTAAAATTATTTCAATGGATATTAATAATAAAAATTATTTAATTTATATTAAACTAAAGTAAAAAACATTTACAATTTTTTTTTTCCACAATTGCGGTGTGATTATTTTTAAAATTATGAATAAATTGAGTTAATAAGTTATTCATGGCATCAATAATATTAATAGCGACAATGTGGATTCGAGTCCCACCTATAATATGAAACTCAATTTCTTTACGAAAGAAATACCTATAACGAAAATCATCGATCTAATCTTCAAAGATTTGTGGTGCTTTAAGTGTCCTCATTTCAGAATCCAAGTCGTCTGTTGTTATTAGAAGGTACGGAATCGCTGTATTATATTCTTCGTAGCTTGGTACTGCACACAGAGCACTAACTTGAGCAGACCTCAAGAAGTATACTGAAGTAAGAAATAACACATTAGAAGATCGATAATAATAACCATAGCAGTCATAAAAGTCTTTGTACGAAGTCTTCTTTCCTGCTTATGGTATTTGATCTCCGGACCAAATTTAACTGTACCATACCGTCTTTTCTGATGTCCTTGCAGTAAAGTAAAAGAGATCTTCTCCACATTAGCAGCGATTATGTAGTGCTGTTATACTGCTTGAACAAAACTTGACCATTTATAAATTTTATCTATTTTATTTTTATATTAAAGTAAAAGTGTTAATTTATTAATATTAAAAACAATATACATTATTTTTTTACTGTTCACATCAAAAAAGAAAAAATCATAGCCAACTTATATAGTATAGATTCGTGATTTGTCATCAAATTAATAACACATAATAACTAATGTCGTATGTTCTGTGCTATAACTTATGGTACAGCGTCGCCACACTGTTTAAATAGATAAGTTCGTCGAATGGCTGAATTAAATAATATATATAACATTTAATTATATAATAAAATTGTATTTATAAGTTTTTTAATTTTTATATATTTAATATATATATTTATTAAGTTTTATTGCCTCGAAGGTAAAGTTTTTAGGTAGTAATACTCGTAGTTCTGTTCTTGAAATTTAAAAGATTTGGAGATATTTTAGTCTATTCACATGAACTCATCCTGTAATTGATCCACGCTGGACCTTACTTGAGTTTTAACAGATTATATATCGTCGTTACCAAAATATTTTATTAAGTTTCTATTTAATAATTTTCTTAAATTTATAAATAATTTTATTTCCGATCAGGGTTGGGATCAAGCTTTCATTTGAGAAGGTATGACTTCCATTAAACTTATTTATGTTAATAAATTAATATGAAAAATTAATTGAAGCTGGAACTAGAATTAAATTTGTATAAATTAATAAATGGAAAGTTTATTTCGTGAAGTATTTTATTTACAATAAAACAATTTTAACGCAAATAATTATATATGAATATAGACTCTATATATTCATTTTTTGTTATAAAATTAAAATTATTAAAATTAATTATAAGTAAAATGGTGTTCGCAATTTCTTTTTTAATGTTTTTTATTATAGTAAGTAATTATTGTGAAGAAATATTGAATTAGAAATTTTTTAATTTAGTATTTACAAAGATATTTTTGTTGATATTAGAAGTTAAGATCTGATAAAGAATTAAGAAGTAAATATAAAAATATTATTATAAATGATTACACATATAAATTAATTTCAAATTCACAAAAAGCAATTGTTTAAAAATTTGTAATAATTCTTCTTATATTATTAAATATTTTTCCATTTCAATTAATAATTGAAATATTTTATTAAATTTATTTAAATTAAATATTAATATATAAATTAGTATATTTTAAAGTGAAAATAAATTTATAGTATAGAAAAGGAAATAGTATGATAAATTATATGATTGATTCAGAAAATTTAAGCTTGTCCGTTGAATTTTTTTTAATAATTCATTAGTATTATTTTTTGTTATATGATGTACGGCAAACCCTACCCTGATATGCTTTATTTTAGCTAACTATTTATACGTATATGAGGATTAACATGAATCTTATTATATACTTGTTTCAGTTTTCTTGTGATTAATTTTAAAAACTTACTAAAGTTTGATTTCACCTATTTTATTACATCGTGATTAAAATAATCTACTTACATCATATCAAACATCTGTTAAATAATTACTCTTGATCCATACACTTGATTTTCTTGGTAAGGACATCTGAGTGCATTCTAATCTTG